TTCCTACTTGCTTACCAATAAAATTCATATAATCATAATAAAAAATACCAGGCGAAATAAAAAGTAATTAAATATACTTGTTTTAAGATTGAGTTGAAGCATGACTCGAACTGAGAGAAGTAATGAATCATCTAATATTTATAGTTAGTCCTTGTGTAAGGAAGGTTCATTATAAGCAGGCGTCTCATCTAACTAAGAAAATTTATTTTCAGTTTAGTAAAATATATGAAAAGCTAATACTGCAAAGATTTTCTCAACTGAATTTGAATTTGTTTTAGGATATGTGTCTGTGAGTGTATGTAGACGTGCGGATGCGAGTGGTGTACATATTGTTATCGTGTCATACACACACTAGTTTTCTCCAAGCAACACGTAGATCTGTTTGTGTGAGGGTATGTGAGTGCAGAATGAATATAAGACTATACTCCATACTCATTCACGCACACTCACACCCACATTCACTCGTACTCACCCATATCCACACTCATTCCCACATCCACACGGTCTAGCCACCCTACACCCATATCCACACACTTACAAGGTCGGGAGCCTTCGGCGTCCTCCCAAGCATCTGCTCGCATTCTATCCACCTCTCTCACCCGCTGCAGGTGGGATCTATTCTTTTTACTCTTCAATTTTTATTCAATTATAAATCTTGGTACAACAACAGGAATTTTCGGAAAAGCGTGTTTCATGATTCTGAAACAGAAAGTTAATGTTTCTCACAGAGACATAGGTGGAGACCAAGGAGAAGACCAAAACCACCATCACCATCATAAAGACCAAGAAGAAGACCACCATGAAAATCACCGAGCGAACAGGTTGCACCACCACGTTTCGTAAAAAACTTATACTCACGGTCATTGTACCAACGACGCCAATCCACATCGTTCCAATTTTTGTGATTGCAGACCCAGTTCCACGAGTCTTGGTCGCCACTGAAATGCCAGTCACGACATTTGTGGCACTTAGCGCAAGGTCGACCTCCACATTGAAATTGCTCGCACGCGCCAGATGCAGCAAATTCTTGAGGTTCTAAATGAAAATAGTAGGTAGTCATGAAATCATGCACGACACAGATGATGATTTTACAAGAAGTCTGTTCAGAGAACCGTGGTAACCTCGAAATTATATTAGTAGTGGAGTATATGATCAGTCAATGGGAAAATTATTCTCATTTACAGAGAGATACTTTAAGGAAACCGTTTGAGAAAATAGATAGTTGACGTCATTCAAAAGCCGATGTTAAAGAACTTTCTATATTTTCTCAAAAGAACTTGTTGTAGACTTGAGAATTTTACGAATCTGGAATCTGTGAGATATTTGAATTTTCTAAAATTGAACAAAGAGTTTCTGCTGTGTTACAATGGAAACTTTTGGGATAGCTAGTTTCAGGACTTTGTAGCATTGTGGCATTTAAGGTACTCAGAAATTTGAGAATCATTAACATTTTTTTATTATATGAATTTTAAAATTATAAAAAATATTAGAGTAGTAGTTTTGTTTTGGATGTAGAAGAAAGCGCGACAACGGTATTATTTTGTCTTTATTTGAATGGTAAGTGCGCCTGATGAAGAGGTCGCATTTTCGAGAGCGAATTGAAAAATATGATTAACAAGGGTGTGGGTGTGGATGAAAGTTTAGAAGAAATACACTTACACCCACACACTTATCTCAATGCTTTGTGATACATGCGGCGGCAATCCGCGTCATTGTCAATAATTGCTCGCTACGCTACTCAAGAGTATGAAACAATGGTGGATTGAGTAGATATCCGATGCTATAGCGCATCGCAGAAAAAATGTGTAACGAAACGTTACTCATAATTGTTTTATCATCGTTCTCAATGGGACCGATATATTCTGTCAGTTTCAAAAAATTCCTTCATTGTAGCGTTAATCGATATATGTCCGACCGAGATGACCTGCCATCGAGTACAGCACGAGCGCTAGGATCAATGAAGTATTTCTTTTAATGAAAATGATTATCACATTCTAAGCGACATACTTGGTTCTGATGTCTTTGGTTTCGGCTCTGATGCATTGGAAACAAACTTGGATTGAGGTAGTTGTAATGCATCTGAAAGGAGGCAAACAATGTTATAGACATTCGAGTGACTTCGTAATGGCTATAAAGGGTAGCCTGGATACCCAGTCTAGATTTGAATAGAAAATTTTTCTTAAATAAAACACTTCATTCTAAATTTGTCTTTTTAACGAAGAGATGCAGTAAAACATACTCTACAAACTGGTTTTTTGACTGATCATAACAGCTCATATAATAAGAAAGTTATAAGCTTTGAAATTTTGATGACAAAAAAATTAAAAAATAACGGCTGTAGCAGAATGAGTAAATTCTCCGTATTTTGTTGATATCTTAGGCAACTAGGTGTAGGTGTGATTGTTGCTTTTCTTTCTTATACACCCACATCCACACGCTCTCACCCGCACTTATATTCACATCTCCGATGATCGCTCTCGACAATAACATCATTGAATAGAAAATTGAATTCCGCATCCAACACAACCTTTCCGAAAGCCAGCACACGTTTTCAGGTGAATCGGGACAAGAAATACTCGAATATGCTGCTAAATTTTCTTACCTGAAACTTGCGAATTTTCATCTTCGACCTTTTCTTCCTTAACCAAACAGGAATTGCTCGTTTGGGAAGCAAGTTCGTCAAAAGTTCGTGCGTATTCATAGTTGGAAGAGTCTATGCATAAATCTCTTATCGTCGATGCAAGTGAGGCCATTTCGTCACAATTATTTCTATTATTTGCCATCTTGATGATGATATCCCGTCTTTTTAATGAGGTGTGATAGCTATCTCCAAGTTGTGGTAACACATAAGCTAAACTTCTTTTTTCAATCGATTCATCATAGATGTTCTCGTTGACATTCAAGATTTTTAAAATCTCTTGAGAGCTACGTATTTGTTCATTACGAGGAAGAAAGAAACCAATCTTATTCAGTGCACGCGCAGATTGTTTGAAGTCTTCCTTTGATAAACGATCACGCGTGTAGTCATAATGATCTCGTATAACAATCTCGTGTGTTTCATAAGGTTCTTGTACTCGACTCGTTGTTGCATAGACTTTAGCAACCTCTTCTCCATTTGGCTGGTTAAGCAGTTGCTCGAGATGTTCCTGGGCTCTACCATAGTTAGATCGGTCGATCAACAGGTTGATGAAGCTCGATGTCTGTCCGCAATAAGCTCTCATAGCAAACAGTCTGAGTTGGTAGTCGAGAAGATATTTCTTGGCGACGGAACTGATTTCGCTTGAGCCCATCATGTCTATCACCCATCTTCCATCTAAATCTTGTTTAATGTTTCTTATTCGAAATACTGCACCAATACTAATTAATACTTCCTCTTCGTCGGGAATATCACTGTATTTGGATATATCAGCAAAAACAAGATTGTTATCTAAGATAACAGTGTCGCATTCGATTTGAAAAATAATCGCTACCGTGCCAGGGTCGTCTTTCGCAGATCCGGAGAAAAATTCAGCCACATGTCTTGAGCGACTGGTAGAAAGAAAACCATTCATTGAAATGAGTTCACCTTTCGTTTTTTCTAACTTTTCGAATTCTTCGAGTGACATTCTCATTCCTCGATGAAGAATATTCGTTCCTTCATCATTTAAGTTGTCATGTTCAAGAGCAAGACAATTATTTATATCGACGATGAAGAACAGAAAGGGCATTAACAGATCCCAATTCTCAGTACGAAGTGCTTTATTCAATAGTTTGAATGGAAAACTCACTGCTGTATATGATTGAAGAGCGCACTGAGATTGGTAGTTCATATCGAATTGATCAATTTTTTTTAAAGTGCTGCAGTCACCACGATAATAGATCCGAGCGATGCGAACAAGTTCGCCTTTATTAGAAAATTGATTGATTTCGCCATCGCCACAACCTAGTATTTTAGTAGCTTCAATTAAAAAATTCAACCACAGGAAGTCACCAAATTCATAAACGATATCCGTTTTAGATTTACATATACGGAAGGAACGCCGCATCCGTAAATGTTCGTCAAGGCGCTCGACAACATTTGCGAGTCTGAATCGAATTTCGTTGATATTGCTAACTCCACCAACAACCTTCGAATAATCATCTGCGTTGAACTGGTCATCTGCGCTGTTAGTAGAGTAGAGGATAACAGAGTCAACAGAACGAAGTTTAACAATGTTGGGAAGAAGATCTTTTGCTACTTCGGTTGCTGTCACAAGTACGATTTTACTTGTAACAATCGATTTTATAACATTAATACATTCCTTGAAGTCAGTATAATATCGAATAAGATCGTGAACGTTTTGAGAAAATGTACTTGACATACGATGCATATTTTCAATATTTGGATCGAACCATATCAAAATGAATGTTTCTTCTATAACAGGCAGTGGTTGTAGCAAATTAAAATCGTCGAGCGCGCCGAGGACTGCATATGTACTCACAGGACAGATTTGAGTTGTTGAAAATGATTGCTGTTCCATTGGAATTGAGTCTGGCAAACTATAAACAGAACTGAAAAATCTGATGAATTATGCCTTTGAAACATTCATTTAAAAAATGTTGCTTTCAAGACGGAGAAATGTTGATATTAGCATCTATCTACAGGAATGTCGTCAATAAGATTTTCGTAGTGTTAAAGTTGAGATTCCAGTTTAGTTTTTGAGTCCTTCATTTCGAATATCTAACTAGCGAAGTGTTTCATGAGAATACATGCATGACAGTTCTTTGAATATGTGAATATCAGGTATTAAATAATTAAATTAAATTTTCCGAGCTCTTATATACAAGTAATGATTAGTCCGAATTATCTCTTTTCTTTTTCAGATCACTCACTGAGTTAATTATCAAAATCACAGTTAGAAATACGATAAAGATTATACCACTTCTAACTGGGAAGGAGCAGTGCTATTGACAACACCTAAAAAATGATAACTTTGTCACAGATGATGACGCTCAATGCGCACCGACAGATTCCGTGTCAATGATCACTAAAATATTAAAAATCATCTTGAGGGTGTGGGTCTCCTCTGTTCATCCACCCATACCCACCCCTTACGGTGATATCTGTGTCATTTTTTTTCAATGATTAGCAGCGCTTAATCTAGCGGTATGCAATGAACGACGCTGTTGAAATCAATCGGTACTCATTAAATTAACACTGCGCATCCCTAACTTCCAATATTAATATACTTACGCTACAAGTTCTGTTTTTTCATATTGAGTTTCTTCGACAGACTGATCAAGATTTGTTCTAAACTGACTTTTGTGTTGGATGATCTCCACTTTGAGCTTTTCATAAGCATATTCAAAGTCCAACTTTCTGAAATCTATACATGTTGTACCATTAAGAATTGTTCCAAGCCATTGAGCTGATTGATAGGAAGATTTGAAAATAAGTGGAATAATACGACATTGTTTTTCGAAAGCATATTGGGCTTCCCTTTGGCATTGAGTACTTTGGACATACGATTCCGAAATGTAGAGAAGAAGTGTCTAAAATAGATACGTTATCAAGTTTGTTTAACGAAATCTGTATACAGTTTACTTTGCAATGCTCAGCGCCATTGGGATTTATTTTAGTTGTTAGATCATGCCGAAGATCTAGGCTAGATCTTACACGGATATTGTCATTCACAAGTCTGTCTCTAATTTTGTAACATTCATCTCTATCGGTAGGAGAATAACTAATCAGGATATCATCATCATTGTCCACTGTTAAATTATCAGAAATACTCGTAAGATTGTCGTCATTCTTTATTGTTTCTTTAAGGTCTTGTTGAGTATCTAATTTTTGCATAATAGCTTGAGCTGCTCGTATTAGACTCTCTTCAGATGATGACAATAGTAGTTTTTTCACATGGAACAAAAAAATATGATCTTGTTTTAGAAGAGAAAATATTTTTTCGTTCGTTGTCAACTCGAGTAGAATCTCTAGAACACGTTGACGTATGATTGTTGAAATATATTCAATATTTCTCTTTGTGATTAAAGAAACCAGGAATGGAAGACGTTTTTGTTTGATGATTTCTATTTTGATTTGATCATTAGAAATTATATCTAAATATTCAAACAAATAAATAGATCTTAAATTCGGTGCTACATTACTTTTCAAGCAAAATAAATTGTTTTCTAATCGAGCTCGAGCAAACAGAATGATTGAAGAATCTGGAGACCTTATCAGTATTTTAATCAGCTTTGCTTTGTCAGTTAAACGGTTTTGAATTTCATCGGCTGTCATCAACGCTGCTAAAAGACGACAAGACTGTTCTTGAATATATTCGCTTTTACCATTATTTTGCAGCTCCAAAAGTGTAGGAATCATATCGATTTCTCTAATTTTAAGCAAAAGTTCTAAATCAAATGTAGTATAAAACATCTGTCCGATCGTGGAAATAAGTAAGTCGTGGGTATGTGATTCTTGGTTCACGCTCAATTCAGAAATAATAGTCCACATCACGACGATAAGTTTTTCACTGATACTAGCAAATTTTTGACGAATTTCATGAGAAATGGATATTTTTTGCACTAAAATCATAAGCCATGTAACCGGTTTAATTATTATTTGCGAACAGTTTTTGATTATTTTTGTGAATTTAATAAATATGTTTAGATAAACTTCAAACATTTTTTCAAGAATGATGGTTGATGCTTGTAAGTAACAATCACTGTCGCCAGCGAAGTTAAAATACAGTGGACATTGTAAAAGATAAAAGTCTTCTACATCATCGAGTTTGTTCTCACCTACTAGTGTAATACGAGCAAATAAATGATTGAATGTATCAATATACGCTGAGGAACATAAAAATGTAACGACTTCATCTAAATAAGTTCCTTTATTCGGTAGAAGTCCACATATATACCGGTTTTTATGGGTACTTACCAGATTAATTAGAAACTGATCGATAATATTAGAAAATTCTTCATTTATTCGATAGCGAACAAGTTCATCAAGTAATGGTTGATGGAAAAATAAAAACTGTAACTTCGACAAATTATTATCATTTACTTTCGAATAAAATTTTGTAAAGAAAATTATTAAATTGATATAAATAGTATTTTTCTTTTGCAATAATTCAATAGCCAAATCTCGAAGATCAAAAAGGAACGGATGATTAAGAACCAGCATCTCATTGAATTGGTCCACATGAAGATTTAATAGATTAGGTACTATATCATCGACAGATTGAATATAAATATCGTGATCTTTATATGCATTCAATACAGAAAGAATATTGTCGAAATAATTTCGTAGCCTTTCTCTTCTTGTGTTTTCTTCTTGCTCATCAGTAAAAATTTCATGTTGCCATAATGCTTCTGTCATTGTAAGACGATCGATACTGAAAAAGAAAATTTTTCCTATGATATTCAAATATTGATGAATTAGTACAATTAATCACTTCTTCGTGTCACCTAAGTTTTAGAACAAAAATGAGGAGAGGGTGTGGGTGGCTGTGGTGTGGGTATAGGTGTGGATGTGAGTGTGAGATTGGCTAGCGAAAAGATACCCACACCCTCAAGATAGTCTATCACTACGGTCCAACAGCACAGCTTACTGAGAACTTATGCAAGAGCATCGAAGTTGGAAAACATCGATGTATTGTTTTGCTTCAGAAGCGAGATTCTTTCTTACCTTTCAGCAGTAAGCACAAAATATAACTGAAGTTGCACGTTGTACTTCTACGCGTTCTCCAGAAAAATTAGAGAGAAACGTATGGCTTCTCGCTCGGCCTCTCGTCAGAAGCTATGAGCTCTCTATAGGTAGTGTAAGAGAAACTGCACTTGAAAATGTATATATTTGAAAAAAAGAAAAAACTACTTCGAAAGAAAAGAACAAAAAGGAACTGACTCTCGAAAAAAACAGAATACGAACATATATTCTCCGTATCAAGAACAAAATAACGAAAAAGAAAAAGAGAAAAGAAACGATATGAAAGATTGTTATTGCAGATAACATTCTTTCAGATGGAACAAAGAAAAAGAAACGAGAACAATGTGATCTTTAACAGAAGCTTCTGTTTACATATTACTTCACTTCTTCAGACTGATAAAAAAAGCCAACAACTTTTGCGGACACAAGGAGTCGTGGGTGTGCGTGTGGGTGTGCGTGTGGGTGTGAGTGTTACTTTTCTTTCTCATATACTCCTTGCCATACTCTCACCATAACTCACCCACATCTACACCCTCGCATAGATAATCAGCGAACAACCTTATTCGTATGAGTATAATAATACATGCACTGTTGTTGTGATATGATTATACTTTTATATTTATAAAAATGATTGAATGTAATTATTTTTTTCATTATGAAAATCAAATAATAATGAAGAAAACGATTTCTTCGGGTTTCTGCATACATTTATAGAGACCTTGTTAATAACGTCTTTGATTTCTTCCTACTTGCTTACCAATAAAATTCATATAATCATAATAAAAAA